GTATTTTTGTTTGTTTTTGTTTTTTTGAGACGGAGTTTCGTTCTTTGTTGCCCAGGCTGGAGTGAAGTGGCACAATCTTGGTTCACAGCAACCTCTGCCTCCTGGGTTCAAGTGATTCTCATGCCTCAGCCTCCCAAGTAGCTAGGATTACAGGTGCCCGCCACCACGCCCAACTAATTTTTGTATTTTTAGTAGAGATGGAGTTGCACCATGTTGGCCTGGCTGGTCTTGAACTCCTGACCTCAAGTGATCCACCCGCCTCAGCTTTGCAAAGTGCTGGGATTACATATATGTCTTTCTTATCTATCTATCTATCCATCCATCCATCCTTTTTTTTTTTTTTTTTTTTTTTTTTTTNTGAGATGGAGCCTTGATCTGCCACCCAGGCTGGAGTGCAGTGGTGCCATCTCCACTCATGGCAGCCTCCACCTCCCGGGTTCAAACAATTCTCCTACCTCAGCCTCCCGAGTAACTGGGATTCCAGGCGTGTGCCAGCACACCCAGCAAATTTTTGTATTTTAGTAGAGATGGGGTTTCACCATTTTGACCACTGGTCTTGAACTCCTGACCTCAGGTGATCCACCCGCCTCGGCCTCCCAAAGTGCTGGGATTACAGGCGTGAGCCACCGTGCCTGACCTAATCTATCTTTCTGTCTATCTTATTTTACCTGTCTATTTTATTTATCATCATCTGTGTATCTATCTAATCTGTCTGTATATCTAATCTATCAATCTATCATTTAATCTATCTAATCTGTCTGTGTATCTAGTCTATCTATCTGTCTGTCTGTCTGTCTAATCTATCCATCCATACATCTATCTACCTACCTATCTATCTCAAGCACCTACCACATGGCAGGCCCTGGCTACCTCCTCTTCCGGGCAGATGGAGTACTTGAGGGAGCTAATGAAGATGGAGTCGCTTTTCTATCTTCTCCTAAACCTCAGCAGGAGGACCAGGCCCCACCCCTTCTGAGTGCTCCAGTCCTCTCCATGGGTTGTGTCTTCGTGCCCAGGAGGAAACACAGCCCACCTCCCATGGGTCAGGAGACTGTAAAAAGGGGGTTATTGACAGAGGTGAAGGGAATCAGCCAACTTGTTGAAGCACAAACACTATAAACAGCAGGAGGAGTCCTGAAGAAGTGAAAATGGTGTTTCTGGAACCCAGAGAGTGTTTGCGCTCTGGATAAGGGGCCACCCCACAGGAGCTGTAGAGGCGCAGGGCTGCAGGTGGGGATGAACACGCGCTATTGACAGAAAACATGCCTGGGGCAGGGAGGGAGTAGGGAAAATATCCCAGCCTCTTCCCCCACCCTTCCATCTCATTTCTGAGAGGCACTTCCCACTGGCCGGCCCCAGCTGGTGCTGGAGGGCAAGAGAGCCCACGAGCTGTCTGTGGCTGTCAGCCCTTGGTGGAGAGAGCCGCAGACAGGGTGGATGGGGAGTGGCTGGTGGGGCCCCGTGGGGACAAACAGCATGGATTGGGACAACGTGGCTTCATCCAGGCCAGGGCTGGGTGTGTGTACACACTCCAGTGACCCATTTTAGAGACAGAATTAATATGGTGAGTACAGAAAGAAGAAATCAGTGACTTTTCCTCCTCTATACAGTTCAATTTGGCGGAAGTTAAGCAAAGCCACCCCAAGCCCTCTCTCTATGCTTCAGCGGCTGCCAGGCTTGGGGCGGCCGCACAGCTGGCTAGACTGTCATCTCTGCCCTCACAGGGCTCAAGCTGGTGGGAGAGCTGGGAAACCAAATCACTACACACGAGGTAGAAGGTGGACAGCACCTGGGAGTGTGTCAACAGGGTGCTGTGGGACTTCAGAGTAGGCAGATCACCACCAAGCTCCAACGGCAAAGGTGCCACTGGGGGAAAGAAGGACCAAGCTTGGGAGGCAGAGTGAGTCTGGAGGCAAGATCTGGTCTCACCAGCAGGGACCAGATCCATGCTGACTCCTTCCCCAGGCAGTCACCTCTCTAAGCCCACTTTATAGCCTGGGGCTGGATTCAAACACACTTGAGCCCGGCGCTCGCCCTCCTTTGAGGTGCTGTCTCGGTGGCCTTCCTATAATAACTGTTCTAATCCCATGGCATCTCGTTCCCAGTACCACATCGAGCTTCCCAAAGCTCTACATAGACCATGTCACATCTCTGCTCAAAAATCAGCAGTGGCTCCCATCACCTCCAAGACAGAGCTCCAGCTCTTCAGCCTGCCTGTCAATGTTTGCAATCACGACCTGCAAAAATTAGCTGGGTGTTGTGACGGGAGGATTACTTGAGCCCAGGAGTTCCAGGCTGCAATGAGCTGTGATTGCACCACTGCACTCCTGCCTGGGTGACAGAGTGGATCCTGTCTCAAACAAACAAACAAAACTAAAAATAAAAATAAAAAGATTTACTTACAGTCACGTGTGCCCCAAATGCTTGTCCCATACCTTATTCCACTGTCTCCTCCCTGAGCCCTCTCTTTCCTCCAAAGCCTCCTTGTACATCCCTACCACCTTTGCACATCTCAGAATGGGGACGCCTCTACCCTTTCCTTTCCATCTAACTTATGATTTTCAAACTTGAGTGTGATCAGTCACCTGGAGATTTATGAAAACTCAGCTGACTAGACCCACCCCCAGTTTCTGATTCCGCAGGTCTAGGGTGGGGCTGAGGATTTGCATTTCTTTTTCTTTTTGTTTTTGAGATGGAATTTCCCTCTTGTTACCCAGGCTGGAGTGCAATGGCGTGATCTCGGTTCACCGCAACCTCCGCCTCCTGGGTTCAAGCAATTCTTCCGCCTCACCCACCCAAGTAGCTGGGACTACAGGCGTGTGCCACCATGCTCAGCTAATTTTTGTAGTTTTAGTAGAGACAGGGTTTCACCATGTTGACCAGGATGGTCTCGATCTCTTGACCTCGTGATCCACCCACTTTGGCCTCCCAAAATGCTGGGATTATAGGTGTGAGCCACTGTACCCGGCCAGAAGATTTGCATTTCTAACAAGTTCTCTGGTCATGTTGCCGCTGTTGCTGATCCAGGACTTTGGAATCCCTCCTCTAACATACAGCTGTCCATTCCCCATGGTCCATTCAGAGCCTCTCTGCCTTACCCCCTCCACCCCCAGCCTTGCCTGTCTGCCGAGCTCGCAGGAACCTCTCCTTCATCCAAACCCTGGACAAGCACCTTCTGCTTGGTCCACTCAGACTCGTCTGATATTGGATAGGGAAATGGCCCTCTGCTCTTTCTTCCCAATCTCTCACACTGTATCAGGTTCCAACCCTTGGGAATCTGATCTCAGAACTGTCCCACACGTTCCCATAGCCACTTAGCTCAGACCCTTTGCTCACTGGGGTGGTTACAGTCCTGCCTTTGATGCCTCACCTCCTCCAGTTATTTCGCCTAGCAGCTGCAGAGGTCCACGTGGCAAATATAATCACCTTCTTCTCTATAAAAAATCATCTACTGTGGCTGGGTGAGGTGGCTCATACCTGTAATCCTAGCACTTTGGGAGGCCTAGGTGGGTGGATCGCCTGAGACTGGGGGTTCGAGACCAGCCTAACCAACATGGAGAAACCCTGTCTCTACTAAAAATACAAAATTAGCCAGGTGTGGTGGCACATGCTTGTAATCCAGCTACTTGGGTGGCTGGGGCAGGAGAATCGCTTGAACCCGGGATGCGAAGGTTGCAGTGTGCTGAGATCATGCCATTGCACTCCAGCCTGGGCAACAAGAGCAAAGCTCCATCTCAAAAGAAAAAAAAAAAAGAGAGAGAGAGAGAGAAAGAAAGAAGGGAAAGAGAGAGAAAGAAAATCCTCTACTGGCTGACTGTCATGTGCCCGGGATTCAGTCCCAGCATCTCAGCACGGCCTTCAAGCATTTCCATGTCCTGGCCTGGCTCCATGGCCTCCCCACGAATTTGCCACCTTCACCACGCATCCTTTTCTGATTCCCTGCTCACTCATCCCAGCAAAGAACCCCCTCCTGGCCTGGGCATAGCATTTCATGGTGTGTATCTCAGAGCATTCAGTTAGGGGTGTGCAAGTTCAGTTTGTTACCGGCTGATGTTGTGAAGTCCTAAATTGTTGGTGCCACAAACAAAGAATTGGACACAACACACACACACATAGCAAAGCAGCAGAAAGTTTATTAAGCACAGTACGATCTGCTATGGATCGGGGACAACCTGCAATGGTATCAGCATCAACCGATATTTCATGGCCTTTTCTATGTGTGTTTTTCTCATCTTCCCCGAGCGGCCTAATTTTTAGCCAGCATGTGTCTTTTGATTGACAGGAAGGTTGCTTAGTTTCCTGGCCTCTGTGTGCTTGTGTGTCACTTCCATCCCATAATTTCAAGCATATGCATGATATACACTCTGTATGCATGAACCTTAAATAGCTACTTGCTATACGGGGTTATTTTAAGGATGTATTTTCTCTGCAGTACATGCCCATCTTTCTTCCAGGCTGGAGTGCAGTGGCGCGATCTTGGCTCACTGCAGCCTCCACCTCCCTGGTTCAGGTGATTCTCCTGCCTCAGCCTCCTGAGTAGCTGAGACTACACTTTCATGCCACCATGCCCGGCTAATTTTTGTATTTTTAGTAGATACGGGGTTTCACCATGTTGACCAGGCGGATCTTGAACTCCTGACCTCAAGTGATCTGCCCACCTCAGCCTCCCAAAGTGCTGGAATTACAGGCGTGAGCCACCTCACCCAGCCTAGTACATGCCCATCTCTTAGGAGCTACTCCTTACTGGTTTGGTTTGGATCTAGCCAGCCATGGGGCTCCTTATTCATTTATCTTACTTCTGTTTTTGCTCACCTGCCTCTTTATCTTGCTTCTGCTCCTACTCATTCCATCCTTCATCCAAGCTCCAATTCCCTCTGCTATTCTCCTGCCTCGAGTTCACTAGGTGGGCTGCAAGGGTCCTGAGGGAGAGGTTGCGTATCGCCCATGTATACTTCAGGTCCAATAAATGCTTGCTGACTAATGATCGGTATTTCCCTCAGGCCCTGCGATTTCTGTGGGCTTAGGTCCCTACTGGCTCAGGCCCCTGCCTCCCTCAGCAAGGCTACAATGAACGGGGGAATCCCTTTTAGGCACTTGCTCCTGGTGCTGCAACTGGGTAAGTTCTCAGACCTGGGGTCTCAGTGCAGATGGCATGGGAGGAAAGGCAAAGGTTGAGGCTGGGGTAGAGGGGGACAGCGGCAGCATTGAGACCTGACTCCTTTCTTTTCCACGTAGCGCTACTCCCAGGAGTCACTCACGGAAAGACAGTGGTGCTGGGCAAAAAAGGGGAGATGGTGGAGCTGCCCTGTGAAACTTCCCTGAAGAAGAACACGCAGTTCCACTGGAAAACCTCTGACCAGATAAAGATTCTGGGAATTCAGAACTCCTTCTTGACTAGAGGTAGGGTTGCCTTTCTTCCATCGAAGGAGGAAAACACACTATGCATTTAAAGACTTTGGTGTCTGAGATTTGCTCTTAGTAAACTCTGGGATCCCAGAGGGCTTGGGTCGACGGAAACTCAGTGGCATTCTTATCCAGAGTTTCTCTACATCAACTGCTGGTGGCGCAGGGAAAGGCTTTTGGTGGTATGTTAATTTGAATATTTTAATATTCATGAATTTATTTTAGTGAGTTTTATAAAAATCACTGTCACTTAAAACCCATGATTTCTTGAGTATTGTTGCTACAGACCCATGTAGATAATATTTTGCACAGCAGCTCATGCCTGTAATCCTAGTACTTTGGGAGGCCAAGGCAGGAGGATTGCTTGAGTGCAGGAGTTCAAGACTAGCCTAAGCAACGTAGTGAGACTTTGTCTCTACAAAAAAAAAATTTTTTTTTTTGAGACAAGTTCTGATTCTACCGCCCAGGCTGCAGTGCAGTGGTATGATCTCGGCTCACTGCAATCTCCGCCTCCCAGGCTCAAGTCATCCTCCCACCTCAGCCTCCCAAGTAGCTGGTACTACAGGCACACACCACCACGCCCGGCTAATTATTGTACTTTTTGTAGAGACAGGGTTTCACCATGTTGGTCAGCTGGCTCAAGTGATCCATTTGCCTTGGCCTCCCAGAGGGCTGGGATTACAGGTGTGTGTCATGGTGCCAAGCCGAAAAGCAGTTTTTTTTTTTTTTAAAAAAAAGACTGAGGCGTGGTTGCTCACACCTGTAATCCCAGCACTTTGGGAGGTTGAAGTGGGCGGATCACCTCAGGTCAGGAGTTCAAGACCAGCCTGGCCAACATGGTGAAACCTAGTCTCTATCAAAAATACAAAAATTAGCCAGGCATGGTGTCAGGTGCCTGTAATCCCAGCTACTCGTGAGGCTGAGGCAGGAGAATTGCTTGGACCCAGGAGGCAAAGGCTTCAGTGAGCTAGGATTGTATCACTGCACTCCAGCATGGGCAACAGAGCAAGACTCTATCTCAAAAAAAAGAAAAAAAAAATAGCAGAATTTTGTTTTCCTACTTTTTTTTCTTTTTTTTTTTTTTTTTTAAGACAGACTCTGGCTGTGTTGTGCAGGCTGGGGTGCAATGGAATGATCTCAGCTCACTGCAAGCTCTGCTTCCCGGGTTCAAGCGATTCTCCTGCTTCAGCCTCCTGAGTAGCTGGGATCATAGGCATGAGTCACCATGCCTGGCTAATTTGTATATTTTTAGTAGAGGTAGGGTTTCATCATATTGGCCAGGCTGGTCTCGAACTCCTGACCTCAAATGATTCGCCTGCCTCAGCCTCCCAAAGTGCTGGAATTACAGGCATGAGCTACTGCACTTGGGTTTTTCTTCTGATTTTAAAAGTATTGGCCGGGCCTGGAGGCTCACGCCTGTAATCCCAGCACTGTGGGAGGCTGAGGCGGGTGGATCACTTGAGGCCAGGAGTTTGAGACCAGCCTGGTTACATTGGCAAAACTCTGTCTCTATTTTTTGTAGAAATGAGATGTCACCATGTTGCTCAGGCTGGTCTCCAATTCCTAGGCTTAAGTGATCTTCCTGCCTTGGCCTCCCAAAGTTCTGGGATTATAGGTGTGAGCCACTGAGTGTGGCCTATTTTCATCCACTCTTGTTCAGTGTGAAGAATTCTATATATATAATTATGTAAATGATATCATACTGTATATACTTTTTATCCCACTCCCTCTTTATATAATAATGAGACTGTCAATTTTTATTAAACTAATTTTTATTTTTATTTTTTTGAGACGGAGTCTCGCACTCTTGCCCAGGCTGGAGTGCAGTGGCGTGATCTCGGCTCACTGCAATGTTTGCCGCCTGGGTTCAAATGATTCTCCTGGCTCAGCGTCCTGAGTAGCTGGGATTACAGGTGCCTGCCACCACGCCCAGCTAATTTTTGTATTTTTAGTAGAGATGGGGTTTCACCATGTTGGCCAGGCTGGTCTCAAACTCCTGACCTCAAGTGATCCACCCACCTCGGCCTCCCAAAGTGCTGGGATTACAGGTGTGAGCCAAGTTATCTGGCAATGTTTAATAAGTACAAAATTCTAAAACCCTTGGACCTTAGCTATTCTGGAAAGTCTACTTGACAGAAATAAAATTGTGAATACTCTTTTTGTTGTTGTTTTTTTTTGAGACAGAATCTCATGTGGACGTCCAGGCTGGAGTGCAGTGATGTGATCTCTGCTCACTGCAACCTCCACCTCCTGGGTTCAAGTGATTCTCCTGCCTCATCCTCCTGTGCAGCTGGGATTACAGGTGTGTGCTACCATGCCTGGCTAATTTTTGTATTTTTAGTAGAGATGGGGTTTCACCATGTTGACCAGGCTGATCTCGAACTTCTGCTCCTAGATGATCTGCCCGCTTCAGTCTCCCAAAGTGCTGGGATTACAGATGTGAGCCATTGTGTCTGACCAGTGAACACTTAATAATATTTGTGCAAAGGTGTTATAAGAATTGCTTGGCCTGGCGCAGTGGCTCACATCTGTAATCCCAACACTTTGGGAGGCTGAGGCTGGTGGATCACCTGAGGTCGGGAATTTAAAACCAGCCTGACCAACATGGTGAAACCCCGTCCCTACTAAAAAAACAAAAAATTAGCTGGGCGTTGTGGCACATGCCTATAATCTCAGCTACTTGGGAGACTGAGGCAGGGGAATCACTTGAACCTGGGAGGCAGAGGTTGAGGTGAGCCAAAATTGTGCCATTGGACTCCAGCCTGGGCAATAACAGCAAAACTCTGTCTCAAAAAAAAAAAATTGCTTGTAATATCAAAGGACAGAATTCAACCTGAATGTCTATCAGTGAGGGAAGAGTTTAACTGTGTTACACTGTGGGAAATTCAGGAAAATGGAGTAGATGAATGTATTAGTCTATTAGGAATGCCATTACAAAATACCATAGACTGGGTAGTTTAAACAACAGACATTTGTTTATCACAATTCTGATTTCAGGGTGTTAGCATGGTCAGATTCTAGTAAGGAATCTCTTCCTAGCTTGCAGGCAGTTGCCTTCTTGCTGTGTCCTCCCATGGCAGAGAAAAAAAGAAAAAAGCTTTCTTTTTTTTTTTTTTTTTTTTTTTTTTTGAGATGGAGTTTCGCTCTGTTGCCCAGGCTGGAGCATAGTGATCTTGGCTCACTGCAACCTCTGCCTCCCAGGCTCAAGTGATTCTCCTGTCTCAGCCTTCTGAGTAGCTGGGACTATAGGTGCACAACACCACACCCGGCTCATTCTTTTGTATTTTAGTAGAAATGAGGTTTCACCATGTTGGCTAGGGTACTCTAGAACTCCTGACCTCAAGTGATCCTCCTGCCTTGGTCTCTCAAAGTGCTGGGATCACAGGGGTGAGCCACCTCACCTGGCCTTTTTTTTCTGAGACAGAGCCTCACTCTTATTGCCCAGGCTGGAGTGCAATGGCACGATCTCAGCTCACTGCCACCTTTGCCTCCCGGGTTCAAGCAATTCTCCTGCCTCAGCCTCCCAAGTAGCTGGGATTACAGGTGCCTGCTACCATGCCCAGCTAATTTTTGTATTTTTAGTAGAGACTGGGTTTCACCGTGTTGGCCAGGCCAGTCTTGACCTCCTGACCTCAGGTGATCCATCCACTTTGGCCTCTTAAAGTGCTGGGATTACAGGCATGAGCCACCATGCCCACTGAGAAAGAAAGCTTTCTGATGTCTTTTCCTATAAGGACACTATCCCATCATGATGGCCCCATTTAGGTCATAACCTCACCTAAATGGAGTGACCTCCCAAGGGCCACATATCAAAATACCATCACACTGGGGGTGAAGGCTTCAACGTATGAATTTGTGGGGGAACCCAATTCGGTCCGTAGTATTCTGTTCTGTCCCCTCAAATCTATGTCCTTATTACATGAAAAATGCATTCATTCCATCTCAATAGCCCCCACAGTCTAAACTCATTCCAGCATCAACTCCAAAGTCTAATGTCCAAAGTTTCATCTAAATAGCATCTAAGTCAGGGCTTAGTGGCATGCACCTGTAGTTCCAGCTACTCAGGAAGCTGAGGTGGGAGGATCATTTGAGCCTAGAAGTTCAAGATCAGCTTGGTCAGCATTGTGAAACTCGTCTCTAAAAAAAAAAAAAAAATCAATCAATAAATGGAATTTTAAAATGTCATCTAAATCAGATATGGGTGAGACTTGAGATACGGTTCATCCTGAGGCAAGATTTCTTCCCAGCTGTGAACCTGTGAAATCAGGCAAGTTATATGCACATAAAATACAATGGTCGACAGGCATAGGATAGATGTTCCTATTGCAAAAGGCTCACTGGGATGGCAGTGTTATCTCTATGGTTCTCCATACCATTTTCACAATTTTTCTGTAAATCTAAAACTGTTCTTAAGATGTTTGTTACAAAAAGTTATCCAAATACCCCCTAGGAAGTCAGGAAAAAGAAACAAGAAAGCAGAAAACAAAAACAAAATGACAGACTCAAGCTCTAACATATCAATAATTACATTAAATGTAAATGGTCTAAATACATCTATTAAAATACAAACATTGATAGAGTGAATTAAAAAGCATAACTCAACAATATACAATTTACAAGGAATTCACTTCAAAAATAATGACATAGGGCCAGCCATGGTGGCTCATGCCTGTAATCCCGGCACTTTGGGAGGCCAAGGCAGGTGGATCACTTGAGGTCAGGAGTATGACACCAGCCTGGCCAACGTAGTGAAACCCCGTCTCTACTAAAAATAAAAATAAAAAATTAGCCAGGTGTGGTGGTGCATGCCTGTAGTCCCAGCTACTCAGGAGGCTGAGGTGGAAGAATCGCTTGAACCTGGGAGGTGGAGACTGCAGTGAGCTGTGATTGTACCACTGCACACCAGCCTAGGTGACAGAGCGAAACCCTATCTCAAGAAAAACAAACAGGTTGGGCAAGGCAGCTCACACCTGCAATCCCAGCACTCTGGGAGGCTG